AATTATAACTTATGAGTTACAACTTTTTAATTACAGTGCCAACTTTAATAATAAGTATATCTAATATTAATAGATTTAAAAAAATATGTAATAAGTTCTTGAATACTTTGTAAAAAGTTAATTACATTATCATAATATCTATATTATTATCTATAAAATCTTTAGACTAATATAACTGAAAAAATTTGTATAATCAACATGTTTTTGATTTATAAAACTTTAAAAAAATTTTCTTTTTAAAATAATAATAATAATATTTTCTTATTACAAATATTATAAATAGAAAGCTTTCATTACATATAAAACAAAGAATATGTTGAAATTTATTAACTTATTCAATCAAATTTTTTTATAAAATATTATTTAATTTACTAATGAAAATAATTTATCATATATACCTTTATTACAATTGTCTTGACTAACTTTTTGTTACAATTATTATTATTATGAATTTGAACTTTCATTTATTTGATTTATTTTATTTTAGTTTTGATTAAGTTTTTTTAAATAGATCCTTAATTTTTATAAATTATTTAGACATTTCTTCATATTATTTATTTATTTTCATTACTAATTTTATACGTTTTTATTTTTTATCACATATAAGATGTATCTCATATTTTTCAACATTTTTTCTCTTTTTTTATCATTTATATTCATAACTTTTTGCAAGATGTGTTTTACATTTGTTAAGTATTTCATTCTCTTTAGTTATATACTTTCAAAAAGTATTATAATTATAAATTTAGTATTCATTATGTATACTAAGAAGAATTTCTTTATATTTTTATTAATTAAACATCATATAATACAATTAGTATATTAAATTACTGCATTTATTTTGTAATATTATATTTTAGATAGTATTATAAAAATTACATTAATTATGCTTAATTAATTTAATTAATGATTATTTGATCACATGACATTAATACAAATTCTTATTATTATTAATAAATATATTTATTTTATTATTTATTATTATAATTATTATTATAATTAGTGTTGACCTTTTGAATTAATGACTTTTAAACCATTAAACTATTAAACTAATGAACTTAATCTATTCCAATTTCATTAAAATTTAGACTATTAAACTAAATTTACATATAATTTTAGCAAAATATTCATAATTGTAATAATTAATAAAATATATATTATATAATCAATTTTATTGATATTTGTTAAAATTTTATTAAATTTGCTTATTATTATTTAATATAAAATTTGACAAATAATTAGGTTCTCTTAAATTCTCAATATAAATATCTAGATGTTTTCATTTAGAATTTTAATCTCTAGCAGGATGAGGTAAATTTAAAATATTTGTAATATTAATTTTAAGCTCTCTATCACCTAAAAAATTAAAGAACAAATTAGTAAAATCATTTTAGTTAAACAAATTTATTATTAATTATTCAAGTAGAACGATTTTATTATTATTCAAATTTTTAAATTAGGCTAGCATTATAAATTTAGCTAAAATTATAATATATAAAATTATAATTTGACCAAAATTATATAATCATAGTCCATTTGAATTGGAATTAGATTGGACATCTCTATTAGATCCAAGTTTATTAGTCTATTATCAAAAATTAGATAAAGTTCAATTCTAATACTTATTATAATTATTATAATAATTATTTTTATTATCTCTTCAACTATTTTATCTACAAATTTATAGGTAATTTTATTTATAAATTAAAATTATTTTTAATTATTTTAAATATTTTAAGATAAGTTATTAAAAAAAAAAATTAATATTTTATAATAAATTTATAATATTTTCTAAGTAAAAAATTAAAAAAAAAAATGTAATGAACTAGTAATTTTTTAAAGATAAAAATAAATAATAAATTATTAAAAAAAAGATTAAAATTTTAAATTCATATATCTTGTTATCTATCAAACTTAGAAATATAAAAATATTACTATTTAATAAATCTTAATGTGATGAATCCAATAAACTAAATCTATATTTTTGTAAAAAATTGAAAAATTAATATATATTGATAATTATGAATTTTAAAAGTTAAACACTACCATTAGATACATCAGAATATGATAAATCTAAAAATTTTATTTTATTTTTTTATAATCATTAGATATTAAAATATTTTAAGATATCTAACATGTTTTAGAAACAAATTTATACTTACAGTTTAAGGGATAATTCTTAAAAGTATTTAATATATAATTTTCTTTAAAATATATTTTCAGTAGCATTTTTCTTTAATAGAAATAATTTCTTTAAAAAATTCTTTAATAAAGAAACTTTAATAAAATATTTTTATGTAGAGTTGCTTGATTTTTAGGGTTAGTTATACAAATTAGTTTGCTATTTATCACTTCACATACTCTACTATTTTTCGTTTAACTAGAAATTGCCTTATATCTTTTATTTTTATACTTCTCAATTTTTTTAATATATTATATTACTTAATAAACTAGTAAATTAATTTAATATCTCTTACTTTTATTAGATTTAAAAAGTATTTGATTATTAATTATATCTCTTATTAATATATACATAATATGGGTTGATTGCTAGGAAAATCAGGTTCCGGGGATTTTTTAACAAAATTGAGATTTTTATTGCATTTAGTTTTTGATGTTATTAGATTAAAATGTATTAAGCTCTTAATTTTAGTCAAAAATTTCTCAGAACCTGATTTTCCTAGAAACCCTCCCATATAAAATAATATTAATTCATTATAAAATAATGATTGACATACAATAATCAGGTATTCTGATTAAGTATATAGTAGACTTTTGCGTTTCCCTGTCTGCATACGTGATCATCGCCCAACGATATACTTTGCAATAATATGTATTCGATCTAGGATGGTGAATATTATAAAAAATCTAAAGCGAAAAGTAACTATACAGAACGCCTCTTTGTCACATGAACAAGTATTCCGTAATTTTGTTCTATGGATCAACAACATTTAGTAAATAAATCTTCGTTTAATCAGTTTATATAAAATAATAAAAATATCTATCTTTTAAAAGTATAATGGCCGTGTAGATCAGTGGATAGATCGTCTGCCTCCGGTTTTATTTGGGTAAGCAGAAGGTCGTAGGTTCAAACCCTACCACGGTCGTCGCAAGATGAAAATTTATTTACGAAGAAACGAAGGTGCAAACAGAATTCTTTATGTTTTGTATGGCTTTGTACAACAACTCATGATAATTACTTTATCCGAAAATATTATGGCAAAAAAAATGTTGGCTTTATTGATTTTTATTTTAATTAATAACATTAATTCATAAACATCATTCCTGAACCTTCATAAACAGTTGAAATTTTTTGAATAGCATTTACAAATGCTGCAGTTCTGAAATCCAATCCCTGTTAATATCAAAAAAATAAAATAAAAATAAAATAAGTGTTTCATACAAAATTACATGAATTTTTGAAAGGACATACCTTAGAGGTAGCGGTACTTCTCGTTTCCTGACAAGCTCCAATCATCGTATCTTCCAGTCCAGAATAAACCAAATCAAGTTCCTCGGCTCCTTGAACTATATTTTTTCTTTCAGCTTCAGTTAAATGTCTACCAACGTTATTCTCAACTAATTCTACTAATTTTGATTTTCCAAGTTCATCCCATTTTTTAGTCATACGTCCAAATCTCATGTGTGACAAATTCTTTAACCATTCGAAATATGACACCTACCAAACAATAACAATGATAATTTAAATATATATTAATATTAAAGCACAATAATCAACTACTTACAGTTACACCACCAGCATTAAGTAACAAATCGGGCAAAATTATGATTCCTTTTTCATTAAGAATGTCATTTGCTCCTGGAGTTATAGGTCCATTTGCAGCCTCACCTATAATTTTTGCATTAATTTTCGTTACATTCTTTAAGCCAATTTGTCTTTCTAACGCTGCTGGTATAAGAATATCACAATCCAATTCGAGAATCTAAATTCTTGTTGCGTTAAAAATCTGTAAAGATAGGAAATCTAACAACATTCAAATCATACTTTTAAAGTATCCTCAATAACATCGACATTGGGAGCACCACGAAAAGTTCCGGTTTTAACATGATAATTGAACAATTCTTCAATATTAATGCCATTAGGATTATAAGCACCACATTCCTTTTCTCCAATACCTATAATCTTTGCACTAAAAAATGTTTAGGTTAAAAAAAATCAATGACTTAAAGTAGTCAAATGATATAATACAAACCCATTTTTTTCAAAAAATTTTGCAGCAAAATAACCAACTTTACCAAAGCCTTGAATGACAATTCTTTTATCCCTAATTTTTTCACTAAGTCCAGTTGCTTTTTGTACTTCAGGATAAGAGAGAAATTCTCTTACACAATAATACACACCTATTCCAGTAGCTTCGTTCCTTCCCCTAACGCCACCTAGAGATATCGGTTTACCGGTGACGCAACCAATCGAATCTACATCATTAGGATGAAATTGTCTATACGTATCCATGATCCATGCCATTTCACGTGCTCCAGTACCCACATCTGGTGCAGGGACATCAACACCTGGTCCAATAAATGCCTGAAAATATAATATATTAGTCTGATCAACACAAAAAAAAAAAAAAAAACAAAAAAAAAAAATATAATAATAAATAAGAAAAAAATAAAATTCTCAAAATCACCTTTTGACATAGTTCTACTGTATAACGTCGTGTAATTCTTTCCAATTGTGCTACAGTAAATTTTTTGGGATCAATTGCGATTCCACCTTTTGCTCCTCCAAACTGAATATGATATCAATTATATTTATGATTTCTCTTTTGAATAATAAAAAAAATATCCATAGAAACTTACGGGAACGTCGACAATAGCACATTTATAAGTCATAAGCGCAGCCAAGGCTGAGACTTCTTGTTCTTCGACTTCGGGAGAAAATCTATGAATTATTTAAATAATTATTTATTAAATATAATGTATCACGTGATAGACATGAGATTTGCAATAGAAAGGGGAAACTGCCGGGAAAATAAAAAATGAGTAAAATGCTAAATCTCAAACTGAATTGGCATATAAAAGCAAAATAGATTTTTTTTCTGGCAATTTCTCCCCTTTCTATTGCAAAGGTCCCACTTATGCTTACCGTATACCTCCTTTCACAGGAAGCAAATGACGTGAATGATGAACTCGATAACCTGTCAATATTTCGACTTTATCATCTTCGATCTTAAAATTTACAATTAATGAATTTTATATAAAATATGGTATTTATAAAACTCCTTTCTTTTATTATTAAAAAAATCACCTCAATTGGAAATGTAACTTGAAGTGAACAATCTGGAGCTTTGAGATGAGAGAGAGTCTTTTCGGATACTCCACTAAACCTTGCCGCCTATTACGAAATTCAAAACGCATTTGGTTCAAAATTACAAAAATTATAGTACAGGAAAGTATTTATTAGCTACCTTATCATAATATATCATAACAGAATCCAAAAAAGAAGGTTCATGATCCTCACAAGAAACTTTCGTGTTGCCTAAGAATTACAATAAAATTATTTTAATAATTCCATAAATTTTAAATTATGTAATTAATAATATTAAACCTGTGCTTAAACTACGGAAATTTATCTTTGGATAGAGGAGTCGAGAATGCTTGAGAATAGTTGTGGCAATGCGAAATGTTCTTTTCCAAAGTAATAACATATGTAATTTGTAAATTATAATAGTATCATGTTTTAGAAATTAGTTAGAGAATACCTATAAAAATCATACTTTGTTGCCATGACTTCGAAAACATTTTTAGAAAATTTAGCACAGACGCGATATATTATTATTGATAAAATTTTAATGACTAAAACTTTTTTAGTAATGAATATCCCCACATGACTAGTGTTTCATATGCCCCGTGAGAAATTTTTAATATTAATTTATGGTAACATTAAAAATTGTTATAATTATTGTTTGTTTCTTTCATTTTATAATTTTCCAACCAAGTCATTCTTTTAAACTTGTAACGTTGCGCTCAACAAATAAGAAAATTCTAAAAAGTATTATATATATTTATCCATTAACGTATTTATTTTCATATTTATACCTTATTTCAAGATAGATCATTTCATTTATAAACTTCCGATTTGTTAAAGAGAATGCCCTCACAAATAAAAAACTTTTCAGAATATAAGTTTCAAAGAATACTGGATCATAATCAACGCCTTCGTGAACAATTGGATTTACCAAGAGTAAGAGTATCTCAAGCAAGTTCAACGTAAGTTTGAAATGTAATTAATTTCACATTCTAAATCTTTTTTTAACTTTTTCTTTTAAATTAAAGGATTATTAAATATGTTCAATCTACCAAAGATTATCTTGTTCCTTCTGTATGGGGACCAGCTGGACCAGCTGATCCTTTTATAACTAAAAATGGTATTAGTTGTAGTAGTTGTATAATATTATAAAAAATATTTTGATCAATATATTTAAACAATATATGGTTTATACTTTATTTGAAATGAATTAATCTTTAACTTTCTTTATTATTTCAAATTTTATTAATAAACGTTAATAATAATTTTTTTATTATATATTTAAATATCTTAAAAAAAGTATTTTTTTTTTTTAAAACATTAATATTTTAATTTTTATCTAAATTTAATAGCATTTATTAATTAGATTAATTTAATAAAATTAATATTCTTTTTTGCATTTTTTTAAAGAAATTTAAAAAAGTAATAATTAAAATTAGTAATTATTTTTATTTAAAATAATAAATTTTAATATTATTACTTTAATTGTTTTATTTATAAATTAAAATCATTTTTAATTATTTTAAATATTTTAAAATAAATTATTAAAAAAAATTAATATTTTTATAATAAATTTTATAATATTTTATAAGCAAAAATTAAAAAAATTGTAATTAATTGATAAATTATTATTAAAAAAAAATTAAAATTTAAAATTTATATATTTTGCTATCTATTAATCTCAAAATATAAAAATACTATCATTTAATAGGTTTTAATAAAATAAATCCAATAAACTGAATTTTATTTTAAATAATTATTATATAATATGTTATTTTTAAAAATTATTAATTTTAAAAAATTTAAAAATATTATTATTAAATATATTTTAATATGATAAATCTAATAAATTTATTTCATTTTTTTTATAATCATTAAGTGTTAAAATATTTTAAGTTTTTATATTTACAATTTAAGAAATATCTTAAAATATATAAAAATTTTAATAATTTATTATATAAATATTTTATAATAAAAAAAAAGAAAACTTAATATTTAGCTTATAAAAAAAATTTCTTTTTTTTTGATAATTTTTTTTCTTTTTACTGTAAAATATATTAATTTTATATATTTTAATTTAAATATTAAAAATATTAAAATTTTTTGTATAATAGATTTTTTTTTTAATTATTCATTAGATTGTTTAACAAGCAAATTTGCCTGTGAACTTAAAAAATGTTATTTTTTTTTTTAATAAATTAATAAATATTAATTTTAGTAATATATTAATTATATGAAAAATATAGTTTAATATATATTTTTTAATTTTATTAAAAGAAATTTTGAGTTTATAAAATATTTTTTCAAATAATTTAACTTTTAGGGAAATTTAAATGATGCTCCTATACATTTTTTGCATCACAAAGTTTAATCACATTGTTAACTCTATGCTCAGCCTGTAGAACTTAAAGTAACAATGACTTAATAATAAGAAGTAACGTGTGAGAAACTGCTAAGTTACTATGAGATAAATTCTATTACAATCAACCTTAAGTTTATGCTTTAGACGAGTAAATAACTTTTAACAATTTGTAAATATAATAAACACAATTGATATGTTAAAGAATTTTAATATGTGTATAGTTTAGAAAAAGATTCCTTTATTGTAAAGATTTGTATTTTTAGCAATCCTTAACCTTAGATTCTAAATCTTAAACTCAAACTATTGAGTTATCACTATTATCTTTACCCTTTTACAAGGATAATTTTCTATCCTATTTATACAAAAATACAATTATAAGAAATTACTATCTAACACTAAACTATTTTATAACGTTAATATAAATATAAAAGATAAATTATAATTTAATGATAATAATAATATAATAAATAATAATAATAAAATATAAGAATAAAATAAATAAAATAAAAATATTAATTAAGTTAAAAATGCTAATGATGTTAATAACATTGATTATTCATCAATCTTTGTAACATAATAAGATTGACTTCATATAGTATCAACGGGTAAGAATTCATAATAACATTAAAGATTATTCTTAATATAAAACATGTAAGATAAACATAAAATAAACACAAGAATAATTTAAAGATATTTCAGAGATTACGCTTCAGAGACTCTAAGTCAATACAGTGAATCAATATTTATATAAGAGATTTACTAACAATAATTAAAGGGATTGCATGAATGCAAAGGGTCACAAATAATTTATAACAGTTTCAAAGAGTTGCGAAGAATAAGTTTATATTTAATTTATTATACACCTTTATTAATATGATATATAAGTTCAATACCTAAAAGATTAACATCTCATTAGTTATCTTTTCCAGTAACGTAATAAGACCTAATAAAAATACAAAGATATTTATACATGTTGAATAATTAAATAAACTAAACTAAAAACATTCAATAAAAATTAAATTGACAGATCTGTAGGAAATAAATTTGCCTTGTCAATAAAATTGCCAGATCTGCAGGCAACTAAATAGACATCTATAATCTACATGATTATCAAGGACAATAAAATTAATATCTAAGAATTTACATAATTAATTGATAATAATAAAATAAATAAAATGATCTTCTTAAAAGATCTACATAATAATAAAATTGGACTTCTTAATCTACCAAAAAATTTTATCTAAAATTTTCAACTGTTACAACGTGTTTTAGATTAGTCATTATTTCATTTTTTTTACTTTAAAATAATCTAAAAGTTTTCATTTAATAAAGTAGTATTAGGAAGTTCTTAAGCATCTCTCTTAATATAATTGGCTAGTAATTGAGATGATACTCATGCATCATAATCAATTTAATTATAGATCACAATAAATACTTAAGCAACTTTTCTTTATTTAAAGTTTATAATAAATAAAACTAATAAAAAAAATAATAAAATTACTATTCAACCTACACAAATAAAAAAATGCTTAAATAATCTCTTTTTATACTTTATTAATAGTAATTTTAATCAATCTGTATAACTCTAAAAAAATAAAATAGTTTAAACTTACATATTTTATTCATCAAAATGATAATTCATCTGATTTGCAAAATCAATTTGTGACTAATTAAAAATTTATTTTCAATCTATTGAGTTAGATGTTTAAAAATATCTTTTGTTGTCTAAGGATGTTAATAGTTATAGTTATGATTAGTCATGACTTTAATCAATATCTATTAGTTAAAAGTTTTTAACTGACTGATTGACCAATTAACTTTGACTGATCCTGACTAATCAGATAACTAACTGATTTGATCAACTTAAAGTTTGGACTCGAGTCAGAAAAGTTAACTCGAGTCAAAGTCAAATCAAAGTCAAATCAAGAAATTTTTGATTCGAAGAGTATTCGAGTTGGAAATTTGAGTTAGAAACTCGAGTCAAACTCAATTTAAAGTCATAATGCGGGCCAGAAAAATACAATGCAAGCTAAAATTTTGTGATATTTTTGGGGCTGAACTAAAGAAAATTTTTTTAAAAAATTTTTATTCAATGATTATATAATAAATGTTAATTATATTATGCTAATAAATGCAGTTTAAGAAAAGAATTATATAAAATATAGCATAAATTTGAAGTTAACTCGAATAGATTTAATTCGAGTCAACTCAAATTCTGACTCGAATTAAGAAAATCTTAACTTGAATCAGAATTTAACTCAAGTTGATTTGAGTTAAATGAATAAGAGTCCAATCTCTAGACCAACTGATTTTTATACAAGAAATATTTAAAAAAATTTTATTAGATTAAAAGTATTATATTCTGTGCAATAAAATTTATTACAAAAATACTTATTATCAAATTTAAATTAAATACTAGTATTTAACACTATTAACCTTATGCTTAACCATTGAACTTAGGACAATTATAACTTAATAACAGAGAGTAACATGTGAGAAACTACTAAGTTACTGTGGAATAAGTCATATCACAATCAACCTTAGGTTTATACTTTAGACAAGTAAATATCTTTAACAACTTGTAAATATGATAAATAAAATTAACACGTTGAAGGATTTTTAATATGTTTAGTTTAGAAAGAGATTCCTTTATTGTAGAGATTTGTATCCTTAGCAATCCTTAACCTTAGATTCTAAGTCTTAAACTTAAACTATTGAGTTTATACTATTATCTCTGCCCTTTTGTAAGAACAAATTTCTATCCTATTAATATAAAAATACAATTATAAGAAATTGTTATCTAACGCTAAACTATTTTATAATAATAAGATAAATATAAAAGATAAATTATAATTTAACAATAAGAATAATATAATAGATAATAATAATAAAATATAAGAATAAAATAAATGAAATAAAAATATTAACTAAGTTAAAAATACTAATGATGTTAATAATATTGATCATTCGTTAATCTTTGTGGTGCAGTAAGATTAACTTCACATAGTATCAACGTATTGATCAACTTTAATTATATT